AAAAAAAGGAAAAAAAAGGAGAAAAAACGGAAAAAAATCGCGACAAAGAGAACGGCAGAAAGAGAAAGACGGACGGAGGAGCACCGTACCATCGGGATGAAGTGAGAGAAAGAGAGATAGATAGGAAGAGAGAGACGTAGGATGAGCTGCGCGCGAGGACCAAGGGGGAGAAGGAGGAACGAGGAAAAAGGGGGAGAACGAGGAGAATTTGCGTGGCGTGGCGTGGCGTGGCGTGGCATGGCGTGGCGAGGCGAGGCGAGGCGAGGCGAGGCGAGGCGAGGCGAGGCGAGGCGAGGTGACGCGGCGCAAGTGTTGTCCGGTACGAAAAAATGGTTATTCCTTCTCGAATGTGCCCGATGCACATGCACATTTTCCCGCAGAACGGATGGTCCGAGAGAGGAGGAGGAGGATGGTTGGAGGTTGCCGTAGGATGAGGAAGAGATGGCGCGGGGCGAGCAGCGGGTTGGGCCGCGGCGGAGATAGAAATAGAGGGGTGAACGAAGAGGGTCGGAGGATGGGAGAGTTACGCGGAGCGGCAGAGCGGAGGGGTGAAAAAAGGGGTAGATGGAGGTGGCCGAACGACGGTAGGAAGAAGAGGAGGAGGCAGGGGTAGGGTGGCAGCAGGAGGCGGAGGTGGAGGTAACATTGAGATTAGCAACGGGTAAAAAATCGATGTCATCGCCCCCAGCCCACCGCACCCTCGTTTCGCTCGCTCAACTCAACCCTCTACTACCCCCGCAGGGCCAAATAAAAGAACTCGAATACACGACCCCTGGAACGCGTCCGTGGGGCTGCGTGTGTGCGACCGTCCCCGTACGTGTAAGCACGCACCCGTGTTTCAATGTGTACCGTTACACGTACGCGTGCAGGGATCGTGCGTGTGCGAGCACCAGCGAAGCTGTGTACGCGCGCGCATCGGAGAATATGTGTATATATGGACGCTGGAGTGCTGGAAAAGCGACCCCCGACTACCGAAAGGGAGAGAGAACGTGAGAACCTGGCGGTGGGATGAGGATCAGGGGGTGGATGGGGAGCTGGCACATCGGGGGTGGGCCAGATGGGGCGAGAGAGACGGACCGTGGCGGAAGAAGGAGAAAGAAAAAAGGGAAAGAGCGAACAAGCGCGGATAGATAGACGCGCATATACGCGAAGGCAGGAAGAACTGGAAAGGCAGGGTGAGTTATATGCAATTGGTCAGCCTGCACATTTTTTATCGGGCGCCGGCCGCGCGCACCCGCGATGGGAAATGGTAGTTACTCTTGTATCGACGAACGCCGACGGCGATAGGAATATTCTTTCCCCCGGAGAAGGGCTGGCGGTCTCTTCCCGTAAACCACGGGGAATCGTAGATCGCGGCCGTCTGTTTATCGTGGTCACCGATCGCCGCTTTTAATGGGTCTTCTTACTTTCTCTGAACAAGGATATGCTAATTTGTCTTCTCGAAGAGGGTT